TTTTTTTTTTTTTTTTTTTTTTTTTTTGGTACCGGGGATCAAACTCAGGCCCTTGCACTTGCAAGGCAGGTGGTGGAACCACTGAGCAAAATCCCCAGCACTTAACTACGTTTTTTTATCTGCTCCCACTTTAAAACTTTTCCTATAGCTGCTAAGAGCAGATGTGAATTGTTTCCTCCAGCCAAGTTTTGGTAAAAGAACTGGATCACATTAAAATGGAAGCAGCAGTGGAGAGAACAGCGCATTTACAGAAGGAAAGACGGGAGGGAGGGGGAGAGGGAGGAAGGGAGAAGGAAGTGAGGGAGGCAGGCAGGCTGGCAGCAAAAACTTATATATTGACCAGTAGCACCCCTTATAAAATAAACATGTTATCTGGGAATCTAGCATAAATCCAAGCACAAGGAGGCAGAGAAAATACCAGGTAACTTATCTATACAAATGAGGGAGAAGCACAGATGATTCTTTTAGAGTAGGAGGAAAAAAAGACTACTACGAGGGTGGATTTTACTCTTTTGCTTACAATAATATTAAGATAAAAATAAATGTTTAGGTCTGGGGATTTAGCTCAGTGTCACCGCGCCTAGTCCTGAGTTTGATCCCTGTCATACAATAAATAAACAAATGTATGCATGTATGTTTATACGAGCGTAATTACTAATGAAACCTTTTCTAAAGATGAGCCACAAAGTAGATAAACTGAATATGGATTAAAAAGTAGTGACTACATTAAAGGAGAAAAATCTAGAAATGGTGCCAGATTTAAAAAGTAATGGAAAGGTGGGGTGTGGTGGCACACACCTGTGATCCCAGAACCTGAGAGGCTGAGAAAGAGAATGTCTGAGAGTTCGAGGCCAGCTCGGGCTACACAGTAAGTTCAAGGCCAGCCTGAATAATCTGCAAGACCCTCTCTCAAAATCAAGTGAAAAAAATAAATAAATAAACCAAACCAATGAGCTTAAACACCTGTCATGACTGAGAAAAATAAAGAAGAGAGGACTTCCCATTCATCTTCCATCCACACACCTCACCTGCCAAGGCGTTTTCGGAAGTAGAAAGCTGCTCCCGAAGTTTGTCCACATCATCTGGGTGCACCTGGTCATAGAGTGTGCTGCCAAACCATTCCGACTGCGGCTGGTTCAAAACAGGAGTCACCGAATCTGAGACGTACACCACCCGGCCTGTCTCACATGAGACAATAAACAGAAAGCCATCTGCTGCCTCCAAAATCAAATGTTTCAGTTCCTGGCCCAAGAAAAGAAACAAAAGTTAGTGCTGAACTCTGAAAAATCAAACATTTCTATTTATTTGAAGAAGTAAGACCCTCCAGGTCATGTGTATATCTCCACAAGCAGCTGTTAGCTTGTACTTGAGCCACAGCCACAGGTTTCCACCCTAAAGTACCTACTTAATTTTTTTACTAAGTTTTCAACAAATTTTACTTCTAAGCACCCATTAAACATTTCCAAACCGATATTATACCACCAACTCAGTATCAACATTTTACAATCAGTCATCATACCCTCACCCACACAACACCCTCTGTGCAATTCCAGCATTCTTTTTCTTAACAGCACCCTCCCAGACTAGAACCTCAAAGTCTGACACTCTCCCTCACATTCCAGTGAGAACTTGGTTTTATCAACTCTGCTTTCCAATACTATGTCACTGTCCCAGTCATCTTATGCCACTAAATGTGGCCTTAGTGCTTTTACTCTCTCTGATTCATACATTTTTATGGCTGCTCACTGCCTAAAACTTAAATTTCTTTAACATGATACCTAACTAACCCATTATCAGGTCTTAGCTTACTTTCCTGGTTCATCTCCCAACACGTGCTAACGCACTTGGCTTTAATTGATTAATTCAATTACTTTTATACCTCTAAGTTTTTGCTCAAGTTACTTAAAAAATCTGGCATACTACTCCTCATTTTCTTTGGGGGGTGGTTTTCTGGGACTTGAACTCAGGACCTTGTGCTTACAAGGCAGGCATGGTGCCACTGAGCTAAATCCTCATTTTCTTTATCTGCATGAGCACAAGCCTTACCACTACATCTCTATTATTGAACTTCGCATTTATTTACGTGTCTATTTACTATCTCATTTTTATGCTTTTTGCAGGACAAAGCACCTGGCTTTCCTACAAATGGCACAGAACTGAAGTTGGTTGAATCAGTATCTGTAGGTGTTTGGTGAAGCAAATTAACTTTTTGATACATACAACTATAAAATGTGCTACATGTGCTTTTAAATAGACCACCTCATTTGGAGAATTCTTCTTTCTCCCCAACTGTATTTCTTCCTTCTTTTTAATTCTTTCATTAAAATTGTGGTATTACAAGGTAATTTTTTTTCTTCCTCATACCTCTTATGTTTTTCTAATTTTTCTACTGTTGTCATGCATTATTTTTAATACTGTAATCGAAAGAAAACATATTGCCAGGAGCAGTAGTGCACGTCTTCAATCCCAGCTACTCTGCAGGCTGAAGCAACAGGATCTCTACTCTGAGTCCAGCTTGGGCAATTTGGCAAGAACCTATCGTTAGAGCAAACACCTGTAATCCCAGCACATGGAAGGCTGAGGCAGGAGGACTGCTACAAGTTCAAGGCCAACCTGGACTACACAGTGAGTTCAAGGCTAGCCTGGGCACTACAGCAAGACCCTCTCTAAAAACACAACCCAACAAAACAAACAAAAAAGAACCTGTCTAAAAGTTAAAGACAAAAAACAAAAGTTTCCCCTAACCACCCTCACTTAAGTCTGGCCATTCAATGCTCTTTAGGTGTCACCCCCCACCGGTATATTTATCTAGTCACATACAAATTGTGAATAAGGGGGGCAGCATTTCTTTGCTGTAGGCATCTTCCTATCATTGTTTACTTTGTGTACATCCTGCCACTTGCATATTTAGACTCAGACTGAGATGCTGAAAAGGAGGAAGTATTTCTGTCTTCGCCATTTTTCTTACAGTGCATCAAATGTCACACACATATTGCTGAGCAACAACGGCTACTTATTAGACTCCTTCACTAACACTGGAAGCTGCTGCAGGGATGAAAAAAAGAGGGACAGTAATTCTAAAGTTAAGAGAACTAATTCATTGGACATGATAATCTCTGTCTGGATTCAACTCTTCTACTCCCACTGTATATACTGTATTTATGAGGCAAGTTCTAAAATTCCTACCGGCTTACTGAATGGTTTTCACAACTTTTCTCTACTTCTTACCACCCCAATACCTATTAATAGGATAGCCAAGGACTGAAATTCATCTTTCCATGGTCTGCATTCTTCCTGAGAGCTGAATTCTTGCCCTCAAAAATCAGAACTTTCAACAGATTCAACCAGATCTAGAAGCTCTCGCAGTTCTAAGTCGCAGAGACCTGATCAGTGAGGAAAGACGGCTTGTAGGAGCCATCAGTGGATGTGTTGCCCGTTCCCCGTAAGGACTTCATGTGAGAGACAGCCATGCGTAAGATGGTCAGCTTGTCCGGTTTTCGAGCCAGGGCACTACAGGTGGGTACCATATCTGACAGTTCTGTGATGTAAGCAGTCATCTTGTTCCTCCGCCGCCGTTCAATTTCACTGTGATTTTCCCTGTATGGATAGACAGAGAGAGAAGCCCCATCCAGTTGGTCCCATCTGCTCACTTGGTGGGAGACAGTGAAACGGATACCAAGTAAGCTGCTAAAGAATGTAGTATTTAGGTTTAATGATGCTTAAATCTCAGCAGTTAAAGATTTGCCAACTTCTCATGCAGAACAAGCATGGAACAGAAGTAACAAGGTAAACAGAGAATAAGCAGATACAATTCCATCTATGTCCTGGAAATGTCACTGCCTATCTAAATAAATTACTATTCCCTCAAACAAAAAAAGGTCTTACAGGAAATGACAAAGCCGGGCATGGTGGCACACACCTGTAATCCCAGCACTCAGGAGGCTGAGGCAGGAGGATTGATGTGAGTTTAAGACCAGCCTGGGCTACATAGTGAGTTCCAGGTCAGTCTCAACTACATAGTGAGACCCTGTCTCAAAAAAAACAAACCAAAAAGAAAACAAAAAAAAGAAAGAAAGAAATAGAAATAGAAATAGAAATGACAGTACTTAAAATGTTGATTGAATTTAGTTTCTAAGTGACAGATAATCTCAACATGGTCGATTACATGTTTACTGACTAAACTGGCTTTTTCTAACTAAATTATTTAAAGACTAGAAAAGAAAATGACCAACTTTCAGGAATTCCATTATGTTGCTCAACAGCTGATATAAGAAATGGTAGTATAGATTCCTTTGGTCCAAAATATGTTGCTTTGTTCTGAGTTTCTCTCTTTTGACATTAAGAGCCAGAACTGGAGAATTTCTGAGTTTTATCTGTAGGACTAATGCACAAAGCCCTAGCTTCTTTATTTGGGTCTAAGGCCAGTACACTGCACTTAAAAGGCTGTGTGATACCTACCATGAGTCCCAGACTGGGACAAAGTGAACTGGGGAGTAGGAGTAAAGCAGAAGGAAACGCTTAAAGGCCTGGAAAAAAGATAATTTGTATCTCACCAGGGTATGTAGGCCACGTTCCTCAAAATTGAGTCAGAACGTCATCACCGTTAAGAGGAAAAATGCAGGGATTTTTCAAACAGGAATCCTAAAAAGCCCAGAAGGTTATGCAGTATCCTCCATGGGGATGGGGATGCCTTAAGGAGAATCTAACACCAGGTACATTTCTGTGTCTACCTAAGCAGCTTTGCTTTGCCACATTTATTTGCTCCTATTATCACTTAAGGATTCTATTTCTATAAAAAACAAAACCAAAAACCAAAAACCAAAAAAACAAACAAACAAAAAAAAACCCAGACCCTAATCTACTATAAAATTCTTTTCATAAGATGAGCAGACTGAAGTCACATAGTTAAGTGGTTTTAACTACCCTCATTCCCAATGCAACACTTTCCTTACCCCATGAAGATAAATCAGTTGTCTGAAGAGGGAAAGCATTAGGCAGCTAGGGTTGAAATGGCAGCAAAAAGAGTTTGTAGCCAAGCTTAAAGAGGTAAGTGACAGATAAAAAAGGGAAAATGATAAAACTATGCGTTTGTATCAATGATCTATTTCCTACAGGTCACAAAGACCTGGACAGAAAATTCTGGGCTCTTATCTTCTATATTATTTCCAATTTTAGTAGATGCGCTGCCGAAGCAAGCACTATATTATTTCCATATTATGGACAATCGTCTCCAAAAGATATCCCAGGATCTCTAGTGGTAGAAAGGTCTCATCCCATACATCCATTTTTAGTTACTTTCCCTGAGATACGTAAAACTCTACTCTCAAACTTGAAAGTATCAGGCAGATTTCTAACAGTGAAGTACCAAAACATAAATCTTTCAAATAGCCACACCAAGGAAGCTAAAAACAAAACGACTTTTCTGGTGTACCACAAGGTTTCAGTCGCCAAAGCCCCACCACTTCTACTGTGACGCAGGAAATTCAAGTGAGTTTTCTAGGGAGGCATGGAGTAAATGCCTAAGGTTTAAATACTAGGAATTCATGGCAAATACAGGTACATTTATTAGTTTTCTGATAACACATTTTCTTGTTAAAGTACCATCCGGCATAGCTGCATTATTTCTAAGTCCTTTTGATTCTGTGAAAGACTGCTACAATAAGGAGGAAAAGAGAATAACAACAATTTCTTATATTCCTAAGTAAAGTTCCCTCAACTCACCCACTTTCTGATGGGGAAGCCAAAGTTCCTGTTACACTCAAACTTCTAAAAACTCTTGTCCTCTCTTGCCACAGATAGAGAAAAACACAAAGAGAAAGGGGAAGAAAAGACAGGGTAAGAAAAAGGATAGGAAAAGCAGCAGCATCCGCTTCATCATGCTAAAAGACACAGTTCTCCTACCTGGCAAGTCTCTCTTTATCCGCAGAGCTCTGCTCATCATCCGACCTAAAAACAGAATTAATGAACTAAGCTAAAAATTAAAACAAAAAGGAAGGGCAGGGAGGAGGGAGGGAGAGAGGATAAATATGGACATGAAGAAGGAAATAAATGAGAAGAAATAAGAAAAGAAAGAAAACAGATGCAGAGAAGGTGGGGTGGAAATATGGGCAGGAACCTTGCCTGTAATCTACACAGTGATCTGTTACAGTAAAGAGCAAGTAACTTACAAGACAAAGGTCAACGATTATATTATAGAGTAACACAGAAGGCATTCTGTCACTCAAGCTCTGTAAAGACCAGGGAGGGATATAGAGACTCTGAAGAACCAACAAAGGAAATTCAGGAATACCACTTTCATATACTGCTCCCAATCTGAAAAGAAGTTTATATCTATATGCGCCACTCTATAGTGAAAAAAATTAAAGATAACAAGGTATCACAAATAGTCTCTCCCTGAACACACACACACACACACACACACACACACACACACACACACACAGGACCAGATGCACTGGAGAGCCTAATAACTAAAACTAAGAGCTAGATTTCTGGCATATCCTCTATCACTGATGCGTTCCTAAAGTTATTCTTAATTTTCACCTAGTCGTTTTGCTATTTTCTGCAGAATAACCACAATATAGCTTGTAGCAACTGTTCCTCCCCTGAAGGAGGTCACAGGATTATTTCTAAATTTTTCCAAAAAACTGAATTACTATAGAGTGAATGGCAACTGAAAAACCATCACTTTGTTGCTAGGCCAGTACATCAGCCCTCAATTTTATTTTTTTGGCGGGGGGTTTTTGAGACAGGGTCTCACTATGTAGTTGAGACTGACCTGGAACTCACTATGTAGCCCAGGCTGGTCTCAAACTCACAGCGATCCTCCTGCCTCAGTCTCCCCAGTGTTGGGATTACAGGCGTGCACCACCATGCCTGGCTCTCAATTCTATTTTTAATAGATAAATAGATAAGCCTCAAATACAATGTCTTTGTAAAGTATGACATATTAAAAGGCTGATAATTTTAGGTATTAAAATAACAATAAGTCCAGGCCTAGTGGCACACACTTGGTGTAATACTCCCAGCTACTCGGGAGGCTGAGACAGGAGGATATCTTGAGCCCAGGACTTCTGGGATAGCCTGGGAAACACAGCAAAACTCTATTTAAAAAAAAAAAAAAAGAAAGAAAAGACCGGAAGTAAGTAGCAAAGTGTCAATAAAATAGTAAAAAAAATACACAAAATAACATAGTAATAATGAGAACAAAGTAAAAATATGTTTGTTTGTTTTTTTGAGACAGGGTCTCACTATGTAGTTGAGACAGACCTGAAATTCACTATGTAGCCCAGGCTGGTCTTGAACTCACAGCAATTCTCCTGCCTCAGCCTCCCGAGTGCTAGGATTACGGGCGAGCACCACCACGCGTGGCAAAAGCATATGTATATATCCTGATGAGAAGACAGCCGAATGATACTAAGTTTTACAGTTTTGTGTTCCTTAGATTATTACTTCTAGATAATTCCATGACAAACTAATCTTTTTTTCAAAAAGTTAAAATTTGCAAATTTCAGCTTGTGTTGGTTATTGTTTGGTTTTGGTTTTTTATCTTTGTTTTTGCAGACAAGGTTTCAATATGTAGTCCAGGGCAGCCTTGAACTTGCTGTGATCCTCCTGCCTCGGCCTCCTGAATGCTGGGATTTCAGGGTTGCACCACACCAGCTTCAAAATTTTCAGCCTTTGAAGACTCTAACTGGAAACTCCATGATATGTGAAGTAAACTGCTTTGAAGGAATGAGTTCTGTTGTTTGAAAATTAAATATTTAAATTGCTGTTGCTACAGAGCCACAATCCCTTTCTACTCTAATATTTCTGAATAAAGTGCATGAATGGATAAATATTCACATTAAGCAGGATAAACGAAGACTAAAACAGTTCAAGTTTTCATGGCTGTCTGGAATTTCAGTGAAGAGACTGGGGACCTGTACTACCCATGCAATGGATGGCCTGACCTTTTAATGGAGTTTGAAAACTATTCCCCAAATATCTACAATTAACTTCTCATTTGAGAGAGGGTTCACATCATAAACACTTTATAGTTATCTATTTCAAGTAGTTTTGAAAAGTTATTTCTAGAAAAACCTCTAGTATTTACAGTTTCCTTATTGCCACTGCTACCAGCCACTCAAAGAATCACACCACCACCTCTGTGCCTACAGCCTGCTCTCTCTCATCCTACTCACTGCTACTGAAGAAACATCCGCTGTATAACCTCCTCTATTTCAAAGCTCTCACTGCTTCCGAGTGTTCAAAACTACTCTGACTGATCTTTCTCAGTTATTTTTGTTATTGAGTTTAGTGGTACATTCTAGGTACACAGTACAGTTCCATTCATTACTGGGATCTTGTACCTTTACATGACAGGTCTTGGTTCTTTTTCCCCTTGTTCTTTCTTGGTTATTTAGTTCAATGGTTTTCAGTGGTCCCCACAGGGGCAACATCCGCAATGAGTAAATTAGGTGTTCAGCTAAGGGTGGCACTTTGGATTAATAAGGTTATTTGTTTTTCTGAGGTAGCTACAAACAAAAATTTTAAAAAGAAATAACATACTGCTTAAAAACATATACTATTAACTTTCTCAAAGGAAAACCAAGTGGAGAGAGATTTACTGTTCAATAAAAAGTGAAATAAGAAGTATTTTACCATCTTGACAGGTTATTTAAACAAATGTAAGTGTATTATTTTAACCAGAACTCCAGTATCCACAAAAACTCCTTCTCTTTGGTCACTTTGTAAAGAATAAAATCATTCTCTGTACAGATTTTTCCATTATCTATACCAATTTTATAACAAATGCTATGAAGAAATCCATAGTTTGTATTCCCGTGGAGGGCTAGCAAACCCTCCTACAGCTATCACATATACAGAAAAACACAGACAGACAGACGGACAGGCAGGCGCGACTGGTCAGAAGCCAAGTCACCCGAACATCTGACAGCAACATTACTAACTTCGCCATTTTTTGGAGCAGGAAAGATACAAGACACAGCAGCAACTCACTCTCATCCAGATAAAATTAAAGTTCAGTGTGAATGGACTGCCTGGTCCCACAACAAGGACCAAAATGCTGCACTACATTACCTGGCAAACCGCTCTTTATCATTAGACATCTGATCATCCTCACACCTGAAGGAGAAAAACCTTATTAACTCAAAACATGGTATTTGTTATATCTACTTCACCCTAGAAAGGAATAAAAATATTCAACAGGGAAAGAAGCCAATGCATCAAAAAGTAAATGAAGATATAACAGCCCACAGCACTTTAAAAACCATGACTATTACTTATCAAGTCTCTGACGTCTTCATCAACCCTTCTTATCAGACATATCCAAAAAAGACACTGATCACATGAAGACAGAGTAAGCTGCCTTCTCAGCAACCACTCTAAAATTCGGGACAGCAGCTGGGAGAAGTGGTGCATACCTGTAATCCCAGCACTTGAGAGGCTGAGGCAGGAGGATCACCATGAATTTGAGGCCAACCTGGCCTACACAGTGAGTTCAAGACCAGCCTGAACTACACAGAAAGATCCTGTCTCAAAAACAAAAACAAAAACCTACAAAAAAAGTTAGGAATAGGATTTTTTTTAAATTTAAGGTGATGACCTTTTTATTTTTATTTTATTTATTTATTTTTGGTACCAGGGATTGAACTCAGGACCTTGCACGTGCAAGGCAGACACAATGCCACTGAGCTAAATCCCTGGCCCTAGGGATAGAATTTTTAAAACTTTTTTAACATGTCATATGAGACCTTAACTATTTTTAAGTGTACACTTTAGTAGTGTTAATCATATTCATGCCGTTGTAGTACAAAAGATACCCATAATGTTTTCACCTTGTAAAACAGAAACAGTACTTATTGGACAGCATCTTCTCATCTTCTCCCTCAGGCACTGCGGATCACCACTCTTTCTGCACCTGAGTTTGACTAAGATAACTCATTAAGTAGAATCATACAGTATTTGTATGGCTGTGACTGGCTTATTTCAGTTACTATAATTTTCTTCAAAGTTCATTTGTAACAGGATGTCATTTTTTTAAAGCTGAATATTCTACTGCATGTATATACCTACCTACCTTTCTTTCTCTTTTTTTTTTTTTGGTACCAGGGATAGAACTTTGGTCCTTGTGCTTCTGAAGCAGGCGATGGAACCACTGAGCTAAATCCCCGGCCCTATACCACATTTCTTTCTTTCTTTTATTTTTTTTTTAAATACCACATTTCTTTATCCCTTCATCTATCTGCAGGTGGATATCTGGGTTGCTTCCCCCTCTTGGCTATTATAAAAAACAAGGCAACGAGGGGTCAGGAATTTAGCGCAGTGGTTCTGTTGCCTGCTTCAAAAGCACAACGTCCTGAGTTCAATTCCCGGTTTAAGGGGGGGACAATGAACATGGATCTGCAAACTCAAGATCCTGTTGGAAACTGATAGTGATGGTGCGTGCTTGTAGACCCAGCTGCTTGAGAGACTGAGGCAGAAGGATCCCTTCAGCCCAGGAACAGAAGGAATATGAGGCCAGGAAGACCTCCTATCTCAACACTGACTACACAAAGTCTTGACTTCAATTCCAGAGGGAAGACAGAGCAACGGCAACTCTGACGGATTTTCGGAGGCCCCAGGGTACTTCCCACTGTCGCTGCACCAGTTCACATCACCATCATTTGTGCCCAAGGTTCCAACCCCTCCACATCTGGGCCAACACTTGCTGTTTTCTGTTTTTTAGACAGGGGTCCTCCTAGGGGTATAAAATGAAATCTCACTGTCGTTTGTGTTTTTCTAATAGTGAGGAGAGCATCCTTCATATCCTTTTTGGCCCTGTGTCTCTTCCTTGGAGAAACATCTATTCAAGTACCTTGCCTGTTCTTCAACTAGGTTTTATTGTGGCTGTTTCTGAATTACAAGAGTTTTTTAGATATTCTGCTATTAACCCCTTCTAAGATACATGATTTGTACATATTTTCTCCCGATTTCATAGATTGCCTCCCCCATTACTGGGGATTCAATCCACAGCCTTTGCACTGAGCTACAGCACCCACCCTTTTTATATTTTTTATTTTGAGACAGGGTCTTGCCCAGGCTAGGTTAGAACTTGTGATCCTCCTGCCTCTGCCTCCCAGACCACTGGGACTAGTAGGCATGTACTACCATGCCAGGCTTTGTGCAGAAGTTTCTTGTTTTTGTTTTTTAGACAGGGTCTTGCTATATAGTTCAGGCCAGCCTTGAATTTACAATGTAGCCCATGCTGACCTCAAACTCTCAGCAATACTCCTGCCTCAGCCTCCTGAGTACTGGGATTAAGGCATGTACCACCATGCCCAGCTTAAAGTAGTTTTAAATTCTACTAAATTGGCTGATAAACTATTTGCTACTGCAGAAACTATAATGGAGGACATACTGATAGGGAAGACCTAACTCCCAAAACACTATTCCCCAGATGACTTGACCTAAATCATCTCCCATTGTCACAGGACATGGCAAAGAGTCTATCAACTTTGAGCATAAAGTGGTCTGGGGAGTTACATTAAGTCTCCCTCACAAAATTTGCAGTTTATTTTTATTTTTTGGTTTTTTAAGACAGGATCTCACTGTGTAGTTGAGACTGACCTGGATCTCTCACTATGTAGCCCAGGCTGGTCTTGAACTCACAGAGATCCTCCTGTTTCAGCCACCCAAATGCTGGGATTACAGGCGTGAGCCACCACATCTGGATCTCCAAAATTTGCAGTTTAAACAGTAAAGTTATTTTATTTTATTTTTTTTAGAAGGGTCACAATCTAACAATAATATAGGCTAGAGATATAGCTCAATGGAAGAGTGTTTGCCAAGCACATAAGAAGCTCTGGGTCCAATCTCCAGCAATGAAAAATAATACTAACTAGTAAATACATAAATAGGTAAAAAAGTCATTTGTTTTGTTTTGTTTTTTTGGTACCAGGAATCCAACTCAGGACCTTGCGTTTGTGAGGCAGGTGGTAGAACCACTGAGCTAAATCCCTAGCCCACAGTCATTTGTTATCAACTCTTATGAACTATATATAACTGTTCGTGGTACACTTTTAAATAAGTGCAGCATAATATGAGTGATGCTTGGTGCTAAAATGTTGTAACAACTATAACGTCATGGTAATAGGAATGCTGCAGCTCCATTATAATTTTATGGGACCATGGTCACGTAGTACTCTGTTGAGGATCTAAGGTTCTGACTGTAGTTTGTGACTGTTGGATTTTGTGGAATCAATGACTTAGGTTACATCTAACTGATAGGTATAAATAAAATCTGGAGGTTACCTCCACACCATTCATATACACAACACAGTTCTGCTAATAATAGTACCTATTATTATATACCAATTCTGAAGTAGACGAATTCCCAATAGAGCTGCTTTAAAAGTTCAATATTTGCCAGAAAGTGAAATCTCACCTCCACTTCACATTTTTTTGGGGGGGATACTGGGGGTTGAAGTCCCCTTCACATTCTTTGAGGCCCATTAAGTCTAAAGAGATCTTACAGAATTACTTTCATTTGCAATTATTTCTTTATAGCAGCCAAGTTACAGCTGTTGTTTTCAAAAGTTTGTGGCAAAGTTCATTATCTAGTTAGCAGGTAGAAATAGGAGCCTTGAGTTTAAATGTTACTACAAAAACATATAAAGATGTTACTGACTAAACGTTATAAAACTAAACAATAGCAAGTAATTTACAGTAAGGACATCCTTTGTGTAAAAAGTGAGGTGAGTATGAGTGTATGTGTATATACACACATTGAGAGCTTGTACGTGCACTGAGTACCTCTGGAAGGACATTCAATAAAGTGAAAATTCTAAGAGGTTTAGGGAGTATTCTGAAGGCCTAATGTGAAACAAGAAGATGTACTTTTATTGTATGCCAGTATTTGTTTGAAATAAAATATTTTTATATTTCTTTTCCCACTAAAAATAGTGAATAAATCAAATATTGAGATAAATGAAATCTGTAAAGAAATATAAGCAATTAATTTTATTTTTTAAAAAATAAGCCTTCTTTACTTACTTACCAAGTATCTGCTACATAGCAATATATAGAGATTACCTGGATATTTTCAACTTGAGAAAGAAAAAAGGAAGGTTACAGTCAAGGTTATCTTTCTTTCAGTATTATTTTTTTTTTAACATGAAAACAAGTCAAGCAATTGGTATTCTGCAAGAATATTTCCTATTTTTAGAAGAATCCCTTCAACAAAATACTGAAAGGTCTATTTTCAACGCTCCAAAAGATTTATTACTCATGAATACAAACTCCAATTCCTGCTACGTGTAGAAGTCAACAGGTATTAGAGAGCATGATAAAGCATGACATTAACAGTAATACCTCCAAGTACCTACTTCCTGGTATAGTCCTCTCCAATACTGACTCAGGACATAAACATAAGACTTGCTTTGACCAGCCAGACATTAACAAATATCATAGAAACAGAGGTTTGTTAAGCACACTGGAACTCGCCTTTTGTACCATAGTTAATACCATCTGAAGAAACTTAGTCTCACTTCCTTCAGGAAAAAAGGCCAGAGATACCAGCTGGCCCAGCCAAGTCTAACTCAGCTGATCAGCAGGCTGAATGCAGTCTTATGAGTGAGTCGGCAGGATCAGCAGAATAATCACAGTCAATCCAGAGTTTGAAAATCAGTAAGCCATTCCTCTTTTTAAGCCATCAGTCAGCAGATAACTGATAGTCTTGTAAATTGTCTGTCCTCTCTTCCCTGAGGCCCTGCTTCTGAAATTATTAACAGAATGCCTGAAATTTTTATGGGATATAATAAGAAAATGCATAGTTTTAAAAGTACTCTCCTTAGGTCCAAGAACAACAACAACAAAAAATCACAAATTACAACTATATAGATCATCGATTTCATATTACAAGTTGAAAGAAAGTTTTTCAAACACTTACCTCAAAAATTTACTGTTCCCTTCTCCATCATCATCAAAATCCAGCCTGGCAAAAGCCAACAAAAAAATACTGTTAGGCCTACTGATAATACAGAACATTAAGAAATATTAAAATTTCTCAACCCATCTACTGTACTGCTACCTAAATAGAAAAAAGAAAGACTGAAAGTGGGTAGAAGTCAAACAACGATATGTCTTCCCCACCGTGCCAGACAGAGCAAAGAAGCTGGGAAACAAAAAGACCTTCTGCTAACTCCGCCCTTCCTTGAGTGGCAGTACAACTTTGCAAAGGTTTGCGTCAGTGCACAACCCCTACAGAAAGAAGCATAACACATAATACAGACAAGAAAAAAATTAATACAAATAATTTTAATTCAGGACTTTTTTTTTGGTACCAGGGATCAAACTCAGGACCTTGCACTCGCGAGGCAGGCATACCAGAGCAGGACTTTAAAAAAAAAAAAATTGGTAATGGTGCTGAGCATCCACTCAGGGCCTTGTACCTGCCAGGCAACTGCTCTATCACTGAGCTAAACTTCAAGCCCCCAAGTCTGTTTTTTTATTCTTATGGTCTCCTCTAAGCCAATGCTACCAGTTCTGAAACACTTATCAAAATTGTGTTATTATTACTAAAGGAATTATGTAAAATGCTTGAACATGTAATATATACTACATTCAGGACACTGAGTAAAAACAAAACCTTAGCCCCAAGGGGCTCTTCTGGCTAGACAGATACAAACATAAAACAAGTGAGAATGGGGAAATGCCATGTGAGGAACACAGCTGCCATGTTGTAAGCATTCAGTGAAAGGAGAGGTGACCTTCACCTGAGGGGATTAGGGGAAATTATAGGTAATAAAGTAGGCCAATCTCCTATTAATTTCTGTATTCTACTGAACTGAAATGTTGCTTGTGTTACTGTCTTAACCCAGTGAGCAGTCTTGACTTCGCCACCAATGAAATAACCGGGTATTATGGGTCTCCAGGTGAGCTACGCATGAAGTACATAGCAGCATTTCAAAAACTGTCTGTTTTTCTCGTTCCTTCCCCACCTCTGATCACCTAGCAAAATCCTACTCATCTCCCCAATATCTGAATCTCTAAAAATCGATCATGAAGAGAAAACTTGAAATGGGCAGGAATGTTTTACAAAAACTCCTCTGTAGCATTATAAGTAACAGTAAAAATTTAAAAATAGTTTAAATGTGCCAAAATAAGAATTAAGCCTGGGTGTGGTGATGCACATCTGTAATCCCAGTACTCAGGAGGCTGAAGCAGGAGGATCATCACAAGTTTGAGGTCAGCCTGGGCTCTATATAGAGAGTTCAATGCCAACCTGAACTCTACAGGAAGGAAATACATCTTTTTATGCAAGCATTAAAACTATGTTTATATAGGACACATAACAATACTTAAAAAGCTATTAAATAAAACTATATAAAGCCATATAATTATATGACTGTAACTTTTTTTTTTTGGTACCAGGATTGAACTCAGGTCCTTGCGCTTGCAAGGCAGGTGGCCGAACCACTGAGCTAAATACCCGGCCCTGACTATAACTATTTTAAAAAATTAATGTATAAACACTGAATGAAATACACAAAAAATCTGATGGTTTTGACTTGGCCACTTTTGTACTTGTTTCCTATATTTTCCAATTTTTCTTTAAAAGAAATATTTAAGCCGGGCGTGGTGGCGCACACCTGTAATCCCAGCACTCGGAGGCTGAGACAGGAGGATAGCTGGGAGTTTGAGAACAGCTTGGGCTACATAGTGAGTTCCAGGTCAGTCTCAACTACATAGTGAGACCCTGTCTCAAAAAAGAAATATTGAAAACTTTATGAAATGTGTTTTTCTGACTATCAATTATACATATCATTTCAGGAAATATGCAAAGTACTTAAAAGAATAATAAATCACTCAAAAACCTACTACCCAGAAATCTGATAAGTATTCTTTTAGGTTTTTTCTGTGTATACATTATATATTGTAAGACAGGGTCTCACAATGAATATACTCATTATGTATCTCAAACATGTACAGTAAGTCCTCAACTTAAGAACATTCTAGTTGTGAACTTTCATAGGTATACTGTATCAGGCTCACTGTTAGCTTATAAACAAATCCGACTTATGAACAATTCTGGAACAGAAATCATTTGTTCAGTACAGGGACTTACTGTGCTAAAAAAATTAAAAATTTAAAACAACAACAACAACAAAAAAATGACAAACACAAAATTCATAGCACAATTTTTTTAAAAAGACAGGGGCCAGGGATTTAGCTCAGTGGCACCATGCCTGCCTTGCAAGCGCAAGGACCCAAGTTCAATCCCCAGTACCAAAAAAAAAAAAAAAAGTTATAGTCATATAATTATATGACTTGTGAAAGGCCCTGAGTTCAATACCCAGTACTGGGGGGAAAAAGGGTGTCACCAAATTTCCCAGGCTAGCCTCAAACTTCTTTTCCTCCCACTTCAGCCTTCTAAGTATAGTAGTTGGGGGGCCGGGAATTTAGCTCAGTGGTTCCAGCGCCTGCCTCCCTGTCTCACAAATGCGAGGACCCAAGTTTGATCTCTGGTACCAAAATAAAAAAACAAATCGGACCCCACCCAAGTACAGTAGTTGGGGTTACAGGTATGCATAATTCTACCTAGCCAAATATATAACTTTCTCAAATGATCCCCTAATTTTGATTTTTATATTGCTTTTAATTGTTTGCTTATTATATATAACCATAGCACATTGCCTTCCTTTTTTTTTTTTTTCGTACCAGGGATTGAACTCAGGACCTTGTGCTTATGAGGCAGGTGGCAGCACAACTGAGCACATTGCTTAAGAGCATGGATTCTAATGCTAATCTCCTATGATTCATATATCCTAGGTTTTTGCTTGTCTGTTTGGTATCAGGGATTGAACTCAGGATCTTGTGCTTGCGAGGCAGGCGCAGTTGCCCCTGATTCATATATTCTGCCATTACTAACGTCAGAACCTTAGAAGTTACTTATTCATCCTATGCCTTAGTAAAGGATTAAAATGTACAAAGCTCTTGTACACATAGCAAGTCCTGTTACTCATGCCATCTCTTGACCAAGGACTCTTGCATTATTACTGATGGGACAAAACTTAAAGATCAGTTAAGATTAACTATATTATTTTTTTGAAAAACAAAAGTTTAATACCAAAAGAATATAAAATACTTGTCATTCTTCCAGGCCTTTCCAAAGCAACCTCCTTTATGAAGCTTTTCCCATATACTGAAGAACACTGTATTTGTTCCTTATAAAAATTTGCCTATTCCATTATGTGTCATATTCATGGGTGTAAAGATTACCTTGTCAAAACACAATCAACTTGGAGACAAAGAATATGTCTTATTTATCTTTGGATTCTACCAACAATCAGAACAATGCCATACACTAATTAGGCATTTATTAAAATACATTTGGAACTAAATGGGCTCTGCATTCCACATCAAACAAAATAACAGTAGCTTAAAAAAGAAATATTCTAGAGTTTAACATCCTCTAAATTCAAAAAAGCTAATCAAAGTTTTGAGAATATAGATCCAAAGCTTGATGAAAGCAGCCAAGTTTCCTCAGCAATAGATTACCTAGTGAAACCTCTGAGCGTAGCCATAGTCCTCGCAGATATTTTTGGTTTAAACACACACGCACACACACACAACCACTTATAAGACACTTAGATAGACATCAACTTTATATGAGGAAAGTTCAGGGACTCTGGCAATTACATGGTAACAGTGTAGTAACCAGCTCAAGTGAGAAGATCAGCAATAGACAAGTGGGTTCAGCAACTAACTAATCAGGTTGGTTTACAGGAGAGACATTCGTGACTATACTCAAACTCACCCTGCTCGACGTTTTATAGCCCTCTGGACAATGGCTCCCCCACCTTGAATCCCAGGTCCTGGGTTTCCAGAGGCAATGGCCGGACCCAATGATGGTACATCTGATGTCATTTCTGTTGGGGAAAAAAATACACATTTCAAAAATGAAAAGTCCTTGTTTATAATCAATATCATCAAGGAGGCTAAATTAAAGGCTCAAGCTATGGATAAAACTTAGCAGTCTCCTAGAAGAGCCAAACATTCATATCCTGATCTCTCCTCTTGAAGTCTTACACTGGTAAAAGATTTTCCCATTCTTTAGTTTCCCCACTTTACAGAGTTGGCAAGAGGAAGTAACATATTCTCTAGCATTCTCTTTTAGGAGCTTACAACAGTGATAAATTACGAATTTAAAACACATATACAAATTGACATACATCTCATTCGTGCAACAAATATTTCTAACTTATTTTACTTATTTTAATTGGAAAATTAAACAGAAAAAAACAAAATTAAAAATAACCTAAATCTTAATACTTAAAATTATATAGAGTAAAACTGAAAGCCCCTCACTATGTCTCTCTGGCCTGTCACTATAACCTCTTCTCCCTTTTCAATTCAATTTTATCACCTAAAGAGTAACTTACTAACAGCTGCGAATTTATCTCTTGTTTCCCTGTCATTGTATATATACCTGTCTTTGTAATCAAAACCAGGCTCATCTTTGCTTAGTAAAAATGGAATCTTGACTGCAACTTGTTTTCTGTCATTTAAGTGTATAATTACAAAGCTACTTTTCAATACTTGGGATGTACCTTACACAAAAAATACTAGGAAGGAGTAAACCCCTCTCCTCCAGGAGTGGCCCAGGGGAAAACAGGCTCCCTGAAGGGAAGGAAGCTCAAAAAGGCCCCCTTGCAAATTCAAGGCAAAGGGAACCCCATCAGCATTGCGATCTGTGAGCAATACAAAGGGAAATGTGAGTGTGGAGGGAATGACTCTGGACACATGGGGGGAAGGGCAAGGGAAGCCGGGAGTGGTGGCGCACGCCTATAATCCCAGCACTCAGGAGGCTGAGGCAGGAGGATGCTGTGAGTTCGAGACCAGTCTGGGCTACATAGTGAGTTCCAGGGCAGCCTCAACTACATAGTGAGACCCTGTCTCAAAGTAACAACAACAACAACAACAAAAGGCAAAGGGGCTAGACACAAGGGCAACAAAGCTCTTTCAGTTCCTTTTTTCCTTGGGCTTTTTCTGCTTCTGCTGAATGATCTCAGAGTCCCTCTGTTTGTGAGCAGCAGCAGAAAGCCCATCATGCCATTGCTTTCTCCTAACAGAGTCTCTCTGCCTTTTCACTTTAAAGCAGGAGGGCTCACACTGGTTACTGTGGGCCATGGCTATGGTGGCAGCAGCTCCAGCCTACTTCAGTTGTGTCCCCTCGTTCTGACACACCAGGCCCCAAAATGTACTATATTTTACTCAGTCAGTCCCCAACTGACACTAGGGTTGTGTATTGTAAATAGTACTTAAAGAACCTTTACATAACCAGGCATGGTGATGCATACCTGTAGTCCCAGCATGGTGAAAGGCTGAGGAAGGGAGACAGCAAGTTTGAGCCCAGCCTGAAGAACTTAACGAGACACTCTTAAAAAATAAAAGATGGGAATGTATCTTAGGATGAAAGCCCTGGGTTTAATCCCCGATACCAGAAAAATCAAACACACACACACACACACACACACACACACACACCTTTGCATGTACAAATTTTAAAACTTTTGTTATTTAGAATAAACTTCTGAAAGTAAAATCCATTATGTTCAAGAATGTAAGCATTTAAAATTTTGATGGATATACTAAATTACACTCCAAGATGAGTACTAACAGATTATGAAAGAAAGCCCTCCCTTGGTGTACAATCAATAGACTTGTACATCAAGTGTGCACATGCCTGTGATCTCAGCACTTAGGAGGCTGAGGCAGGAGGATCTCTGCGAGTTCAAGGCCAACCTGGACTACAAAGTGAGTTCAAGGCCAGTTTAAACTACATAGTGACACTGCGTCTTAAAAATAAACAAACAAATAAAATAAACAGCCCTGTAGCCTGAATGAAATACAAAGGGATATGGGCCAGGGATTTAGCTCAGGGTGCTGCTGCCTACCTTGCAAGTGCAAGGTCCCGAGTTTGATCCCCGGTACCAAAAAAAATAAACATAAAGGAACAAAAAAATAGCAGGCCTGCTGCTGCTGCTTGCTGCTCACTGCCTTCTGCTTGCCACACCATGAACATTTTCTCCTTTGTGATGTCCCTCATACCATGTCAGCCAATTATGCTCATAAACTGTGAAATGAGGTAAATCTTTCCTCCTTTAACTTGTGGGTATTGTGCATTTTGTTTCAGCAATGAGAAAAGTACCTAAAACATTATATAAGATAGAACTTACTCAAAGCACTGCATAATCTTTCAGTGAATAATGGGATGCATATAAAATTATAGCCCATGAGATTGCACTGCCTAGTAATATTGCAGTTCTTGATTTGTATAAATACACTCTGTGGTGGTCATATAAGGACAAAATCAAATGATGTATCTCTTACAACTTATCCCATTGTTATGTGAAGTATGAATTACTTTCTTCCAAAGGGACAGGTATACCAAATTCACTGGCTGAATAGGCCATCCTTTCCTCATTTATCTGAAAGTACCTTCTTTATTATATTGTATCTTAAATGTCTACAGCTTCTTGGTTTCTTTCTACACTTTTACTCTGCAGTAATATCTTATGTCAGTACCAAAAACTTGCTTACAACATCTTCTTAGCATACAGTGGTAGCTATGTTCACAAACTTAATTCCTTCCCAAATTCTGGGGAACATGGCCACATATGTGGTCATGAAAAAAGATAGTCATGATGTGTTCATCACCCAATACAGAATTTGCAAACAAAAAATTTTTCCAAACACTTATTTTGAATTCATGCTGTCCCACAAACAAAAGAGTTTATGAATTGAGGTACTGCTGTATTTTAATCTAATAGGAAAAGCCCTGCGTTCCCCATTAATTTATTTTATAAAATTTTCTTGTTAAATGTGATACACTAACTTTTGCTTATATACTGTTCTCTATTCCTCCTGCTAATACAACTAAAAATCCTAGGCATCATATATAAAACAAATACGAGTGCTCCTAAAGATGAGGAGAAAAAAACATAACAGCCAGGGACCATGACAAGAGGAACAACATAGTGATCAGTTTTCAGGGTTTTCTTCTGCCTCATCTATCCCAGACATGAGGCTGAAGAAGTCAGTAAATTGGAAATGCCAAGGCTCATAGATAAAAACAGACTCCCTCTAATCAAAAGACAAGGAAAAAGAGCATCCTCACAAGACAGAAAATGTTTAGACAACTGTGAAATACAACAGGAAGAAACTGTGGCCCCATTCTCACTCATGAGAAAGGGGAGCCCAGACCAACATACTAATAAAGCTGTAACAAGGCAGCTCGACACCTATACCGGGGCAGCTTCGGAGAAGGCCAATAAGAACCCAAAAGTTTCATCTCCCCTGGCCAGAAGTAAGGACCTAAACCTTGCTGTGTCCATGGGAAGCTATAACTCCCATCTTCACTCAACGGTAATAAGAGCCCTCATTTCACATGTCACAGAGACCAATGGGAAACCCTGAACCCTCTCTACCCAGCAATAGCCAGGCAATGCTCCTCTTCCCCCTGCCAGTTATCAGTGAATGACAGCTAAAAACAGAAGGTTTAAGTAAGTTTCAAGTCACATAATACAAAATTGCCCAGGTTTTTCTAAAAAAAAAATCACATCTGAAGAATTAAAATCCCACGGCCAGGGATTTAGCTCAGTGGTTCCACTGCCTGCCTTGCAAGCACAGGTTCTGATTTAATCCCTGGTACCAAAAAAAAAAAAAAAAAAAAAAAAAAAAAAAAAAAAAAAGAATTAAAATCCCAAATTGAATGAAAAATGTTAATCAACATATACCAAAACTGATGTGACTTAGCTAACAAAGGTTTTTAAAGTAGCCATGGTAAACATACAACTAAAAACATATTTGAGGCAAATGAAAAAATAACCTACACAAAGAAATAGGAAATACAAAAAAAGATTCAAATGGAAATTTTAGAACTGAAAAAAAAAATTCATGGTAGTCTCAACAACACAATGCAGTATACAAAAGAAAAAAATCAGTGAAAGGAAGACCGAACACTAAAAATTACCCAGTCTGGGCTGGGCTACAGATGGCACGTGCCTATAGTCCCAGCAATTGCGAGGCTGAAGCAAGAGGATCACTGCAAGTTTTGAGGCCAATCTGGGCTAAATAGTGAGTTCAAAGCCAGCCTGAACTACATAGAGAGGCTTGAAAACACTGAGACAGAGACAGAATGAATGACCAAATCGGAACTGAGAGAAAACAGACTGAGGAGGGGAATACATACACAGAAAATTAACAGAGCCTCTGGGAACCACGGGAACTATAACAAAAAGATCTAACATTTCTATCATGGGAGTCCTATAAGAGATGAGAAAGAAGGCAGGGCTGAAAAGTAATACGTAAAAATTCCCAATTTTGTTAAGATATACAAATGCTGGGCTGGAGATTTAGCTCAGCGGTTCGGTGGCCTGCCTTGCAAGCACAAGAACCCGAGTTCAATCCTGGTACCAAAAAAAAAAAAAAAAAAAGAGAGAGAGAGAGAGATAAATGTAGATTCAGTTGTGAAAAACCCAAAGAAACCCATTATAACACATCATAATTATACTTCTGAAAACTAAATCTAAAATATCTATGGGTTTTTTAAAACTTTTTTTTTTTTTTGGTACCAGAGATCAAACTCAGGTCCTTGCGCTTGCAAGACAGGTAGGGGCACGACTGAGCTAAATCCCCGGCCCTTAAAACATTTTTTAAACTCAGAAAAAACTTGAAGGTAGCTACAGAAAATGACACCTTAGTTTCAGAGGAAAAACAATTCAAATAACATCCAATCTTTATTAGAAATCACAGAGGGTAATGCTCTGAAATATTTCAAAATAGTTCCCTTTCCCTCACTATAATCATGGGTAAATCTTTCCCTTCCCCAGTACTAATTCTCTATCTTCTAATACACACATTGAGAGTGTGGTAGAGTTCCTGAGGTAAAACTTACCAAAATGTGGGTATGCTCCCTTAAGAGTGGGCCAGTGGAGTTCACAACTTCCAGACCTGTTGGCTGAGCTCCCATAAATTTGTCAATTCCAGTTGTAGTTTTTCTATTCATTCCCATGGGGCTCCTCTACTCTGGAAGAATTTAAGCTTCTGTATCGGGCTTTCTCTCCAGTTTTGAGGGCAGCAGTATTCCCTGCAAGCTTTAAGAACTCTCAGAATTTGTTTTCCAAATTTGTTCAGCTGTTTATTTCTTATGACAGAATGAAGACTTCAAAACTCCTTTTTACTTCACCTTTCAATTTATTTTAAATATAGATCTGCTAATTGTAAATGAAGCACCTTAAAAAATAAAAGTAAAGAAATCATGTAGACAAGAAGGAAGTGGTATGACATTTTTTTTTAGTTCCGAAAGAAAAGAGCTCCCAACCCAGAATTCTATACCCATTGAAGATATTCAAGAATGAGAAAGAAATTAAGACATTCTCAGACAAGGAAAATTAAAAATTTGTCAACAGCAGATCTAAATCAGAATAACAGCTAAAGAAAGTTCTCTAAACAGGAAGGAAAGTATAAAAGAAGAAATTTTAGATTTGGAAAAAACACAGTAAGCAAAAATATAGGTATGATCAATTTTCCCCAATAGGCTTTTTTCTTTACAATTATTCTTGAAACAAGTGCCAAAATAATAGATCAAATCTTGAACCATAAAACAAATGTCAATAGATATAAAAGAATGGAAAAGATGTACTAGATCACATCATCCCACCACAATGAAATTCAACTAAAAATCCATAACAGAAAGATAACCACACACTTGGAATCTAAACACACTAAATCAATGAATGATAGAGGAAGTCTCAAAGAGAATTTTAAAATATACTGAACTAAATGCAAATGAAAACACAACATAGAAAATTTTGAAGGACACAACTCAGATGGAAATTTATAGCCCTAAAATGCTTACCGTGGACCCTCAAGTTACAAGTAGCCACACAAACAACTTGGGTTACAACTGGAATTTTAGTTATAACTGGCCACTCATATGGTTGTAAACTAAGACTTGCAGTGCCAGAAAAGTGTATGTAAAGCAACAGTCTGAGCCCAGGTGTACATGTTTGTGGACATGATTTTGGTCAGTGCTTTATATAACTGCTATGACTACTGCTATCAAAATGGCCCCAAAAAAGTAGAAAAAAGCTAAGGAAGGAAGAGAAGGTAAAGAAAGCAATTACAATTGAAAAGTAGGAAATTGTGGAGAATATGAGAGTAGCATTTGTGTGACTGATCTTGCTAATATGTATAGCATGTCAAAATCCACCATCTCAACAATCTTACAGAGGGAAGATTTGTAAAAGGAATCTAGTGTTGCTAAAAGTGTTGCTCAACCTAGTAAGTCATGACCAACAGTGTTAGATGAGGTAGAAAAGCTATTACTAGTGTAGATAAATGAAAGGCATATGGAAGGTTATAACCTGAGTCTATAATTTGTGAAAAACAGGGCTATAAATGCAGATCTCTCAATGCATAATCCATCAACGACTGATAATGGTGAAACATTTCGTGATAGTAAGGGGTGGTTTCACAACTTTAAAGTGCAACTCCAGTACACAGTGTAAGTTAGGAATGCTGAAGCAGCCAGTGCTGATAAATGGGCTGCTGAAAATTACATACACCAATTTGAACTGAGGAGACAGAGAAATGACTTTTGATCTTAAGTTTTCAACTGTCACAAAACGCCTTTTCCAGAAGAAAATGCCCAAGAGAACATATTATTACCTAGGAAGAGAAGAAAATACCAGGCCATAAGCCTATGAAGGACAGGTTGAACTTACTGCTATGTGCCGATGCAAGTGGTGACCTGAAGATAAAGTCTCTCTTGGTTTATCACTATGAGACCCCCTAGAGTCTTCAGACAACATAAAATCATGAAGAAAAGGCTAGGGGTCAAGTGGAGATCTAAAGCAAAAGCTTGAGTAACAAGAGTATTTTTTTTCTTAATCAAGGACGCTTTCTGTCCTGTTAAGAAATATCTGGAAGACAAAGGTTTACCACTCAAAGCTCATCATGGACAATGTTCCTGCTCAACCACAAAATTTGGAAGAACTGGCTGAAGAGGGTCAGGGACTTATCTCAGGGGCACCATACCTGCCTCACAAGTACAAGGTCCTGAGTTTGATCCCTGATATCTTAAAAAAAAAAAAAAAAAAAAAAAAAAAAGAATTGGTTGAGGAATTCCCATGGCTCTCAGTTGAGTTCCTCCCACCTAATACAACTCCTCTACTGCAGCCTATGGACCAGCAAGTTATAGCTAATTTTAAGAAGGTATACTTGAAAGAACTGTTCCTGAAGTGCTTCCAGATGGTCCTGACTTAACACTTAAAGAATTCTGGAAGGAATATTACAATATCCTTTCCTGTGTGGGGTTTACTAGAAATCCTGGGCCAATGTCTCTCTGAGGACACAGATCTGCATGGCTTAAAATTATATAGAAGAGGGACATTGAAGGCTGTGTATAGGAGCCTAAACCTTCAGGTAACCCTGTGGTTGATGACACTGTCACTACAGCAGAGTCCATAGGCTTGCAGATAGACGGTGGTGATGTTGAGGAACTGGCGGAAGAACACTGAGAGAATTGACTACAGAGGAACTTCAGCAACTTCTGGCTGAGCAACAGAGAATGGCAGCTGAGGAGTTTTCTGAAGAGGGGGAAAGTATCAACAATCAGTGCAGCAAAGTTCTTTTTCTGAATTAAAGGAAACCCTGAAAAAATGGACAAAGCTACAAACACTTGTAGAGAAGACCCACCCAGACAGAAAAAAAAAAACCAATCACTGCATTTATTTGCTTAATGACAATGTCATGTCATACCACAGAACACTGTTAAAGAAAAAAATAGAAACAGACAACCTTAGTCCAGTTTTTAGTTCTGAAGGGATTTACCTAATGAGCCAGAAGCAGGTCCTAGTGGACTACAAATCTTCCCAAGGATTAAAAGGACAACAGAGAGCCAGATTCCTGATGTTCTTATGGAAGGGGACCCTCATTCCAAATAATAACCACCTTTCTTCTCATCTTCCCTTTCTGCAAGCGAAAGATGTCAACTTGAATGGTGAGCACAGTATGAAATTGTTGTTTCTGGTAAACCAGGCACATCTTACAACATTTTGGTGAATACAATGGGAAAATTATTAATGTTTCTGATAAATTCCACACATTATACAATCCTTTTTTATTATGAAAGGGGTGCTTTGGGAAGTTCAGAACAATTACAGGTATTTTGCTGCATGTGGTGGTGCATGCCTATAATCCCAGCACTCGGGAGGCTGAGGCAGGAGGATCACTGTGAGTTCGAGACCAGCCTGGACTACATAGTGAGTTCCAGGTCAGTCTCAACTACACAGTGAGACCTTGTTTCAAAAAAACCAAAAAACCAACAAACAATTACAGGTATTTCCATTATTACTTAAGGGAAAAATGGTCTTGACTTGCAACCAACTGTTACAACCTGCCCTCACAAATTGAGTTTGTAAGTCAAGGGCCCACTGTATATGATAAAAACCTTGGATTGCGAGTCATTTATTCTGCAAATGTTCCGCAAGATAAACATTTCTAGTTAAACTAAATAAAGGAGCAATGTCTTGCAATAAGAGTAGTATGTGACACAGAATGTCACATGCTCACAACTGGACCAGTGCCAGCCCTGCTCGCTGTGATTGTGAGTGATTGTCTCCCAACAGCAAGAGGTTATGGAGATCTTATCTGCAGAAGAAGAGGGAAAAAAGGCAGAGGAGTCCCCCACTTCAAATGAGATCAGGGAGATGTGTAAAATGAGCAATGAATCTATTTAGTGACAAGGAAATGTCACATTTCTGTGGAATCCTCAAAAAAAGGCAAAAACAAGTATTGTTGGATAGATTCCTTGTTAAAATTCCATAAAAACAGAAAGATTTCACTGAGCCAGTAGATAGCAGTGATTCCATCAATGAATTTCTCTAGTTCTGTGAGGAATGCTGTTGGTATTTTGATTGGGATTGCTTGGAATCTATGCATCACTTTTGGGAGTACAATCTTGACCATTATCAATGTCAATATCCTAGTCATGATACTGTTTTCCAAGATGTGGCCACTGGGGAAAACTAGTTGAAGGCACAGGAGAAGCAAGGTATGCTAAGCACATGCTTATAATACCAGCATATAGTGAGACCCTGAATCAAAACACCAAAAAAAAGGAACTGTTCACCATGCATTTTGATCGTTCCTTGTACATATATACATATATGCACATATGTAGTAGTTCTTAGGCTTGTCACTACATCTTATTATTTACTATTCTATAGCACTGTATGAATTTTTTTTTTTTTTTAGACCAGGTCTCGCTTTGTAGTACAGGGTAGCCTTAAGCTCACTATGTAGCCCAAGCTGGCCTCAAATTCACAGGGATCCTCCTGCCTCAGTTTCCTGAGTGCTGGGATCATGGGCATACAACACCATGCCTGGGCCAACTTTAATATTTAGACAGTTATACTTTAATATAACTTATTTCCTATGCAATACTATGTATTGATATCTTACTCATTAATTTTGTTTTGTTTTGTTTTCAGAGATAAAAACTATGTGGCCCAAGACAGCCTGGAAGTTGCTACATGGCCCAGCCTGGCCTCAAACTTCTGATTCTCTTGCCTCAGCTTCCCCTGTACTGGGATTATAGACATGTGCTACCCATGCTCAGTTCTACATAAAATCTTATGAAATGCTCAATAGCTGTCATCAAACAGCTAAAAAGATCCAAACCACACAAAAGCTTAAGAAATCTTGATCTGGAGAATTTCCAAAATGAATGTAGATATCTCCATCTTATCTGTGATTTTCCCTGGAATTAATTCTATTCTGATTTAACTTTTGATTAAAGCAAGAATAGAACAAATGTCTTTATAAAACATTAATTCATAAAATCACATTTTCCTTTAGTTTATTAATCCTATGATTTTGTGTTTTGTTTGTTCTCCTGATGATCCTCCTATTTCAGCCTCCCAAGTGCTGGGATCACAGGCATGTGCCACCATGCCTCCCTTCAATAACATGATTTATATACGCTTTCTCAGGTTGAATCATTTTGATTTCCCAGAATCACAGTAGGATGAATAGTGTAACAATGCATGTCCGCCCAGAACTTCAAAATGTAACTCTCCTTGGAAATAAGATCTCTGAAGATGTGATTAGTTCAGCTTGAAGTCAAGCTCAATTAGGATGGACTCTATCACCAAAGGCTAGTGCTTTT